TTTGTATGTAACATAGGTTTATTAAATCTAGGGTATTTAAGTCATTTTAAGATAAATAACATTCTGTGATAACAACAAATTGAAATGGGGTGGTTGTTTTCAACAAGGTGGACAAAGTTCTGTTCATAACAGCAAACCTGCTGGTGAAGAAGTGACAGGTAAGAAAAAAATGGCAGAGACAGATATATTGCGGAAAATGAAGAAAAGGGAAAGGGAAATGAAGGTGCAGTGCAAGGCCTACAAATTAGTACCTTAAGGGTACGAATTATTACTCTAAGGTACTAATATGTTCCTATTAGGGGTAAAAAAGGTACAAAGACTGGTGGGATGGGCCCAATTGAATTTTCAAACATATTACAGCGTAAAAGCTCTGTATAGTATATATCAAATATTATGGATGTTCTCATATTGATATTAAATTGTTTTTTTTATTATTTTACAGTTTTAACTACACAGTCTTAAAACATTAATTGCGGAATTGCACATAAACATGTCATCAGGGCGCAATATATTATTTTAGATAAAGATAAAGTACATGAAGTGTGAATAAACACATTCTACATTTGTCCCTTAACATTATATACATACTACCAAATAAATATTTCATCTAGAAAACAAGATCATCATTACTTTACATAACAGAATTTTCAAATAAATAAAATCATTCCTTAAATAGTCGGGTTTTTTTAAATCACAGTTGCATCACATTAGTAGAGGTCCTGTATGCCCAGCAATACAGGAAAATTGATAAACTTTTAAGCGTCAAAGTTTGTTCTTGAATATCTCTAGAAGATGCTGTTTCGAGTGGTGTACTGCACATTGTACGACCGTCTTCTGTGCCAACGTCTTCTGATTGCTGCACAGCAACCACACAGCAAACACTAAACACATAAACAGACAAAGTGAGAGTTAGCATCATGGAAGGGAACATGCTTTTAATCAGCTGTACATTATAAACCAAATAAAAAGGCAAATTTAAGTCTATTTTAAGACAAAGGAGTAAAGCTTGCATGTTAATCATTAACATGTCATTAATCACTTTACTTCCAATGCACATATTTAACATTCAGTCATCATAATACTTACGCAAAGAAGAATCCAGCAAGGTACGAGCCCGATGACAATAGCACAGGGGACAATGATAGCCACAATCCATGCTGCATTAGTACCGTTGTTTGAGATTGTAGTGCTCAGAATTGTGGGGTAAAAGGTGGTTGGAGCAGCTGTTGTAGTAAGTCCGAGCAAAGTTAAGACCAAGCCGAAACTGCCGATGTCACTGTCTGTGAAAACATACTCTACGTTGGCCTCAATCAAGGAGGAATTACCCCTGTGGAGAAAGGAAAATGTACAATGAGATATTAAGCAAAATAAATAAACTGATCTTTCCTTCCCTCACCCAGAATCTACTCAATGATGAAAGCAGATCTCTTGAAATCATTAAAACACTACTTGAAATAAAGCCAGAACTTACTTGAAAATGATTTGATTGAAATTAAAGTCAGTAGTTGTTGTTTTATTTAGGATTGTGGATACCTGAAATGCAGAAATACATTTCTATTGATTAATTAATTTATTAATATAGTATGGTTAATGTGACTGAAATAAAGCAATTTCTCTATTCTCAATTCCTCAGTGTCTGGAACTCACAAATGAATTCATATATTTCTGGATCACTTTGTAGGTTTCATTCCTGAATTCAAGGTTCTCAGACATGGACACATTGCTGATTTCAAATCCAAAGTTAAGAGAGAAGGAGTTATCATCAATTTCTTTAGAAAAAAAACAAAGCAAAACAATAATTAGTTGTCGAGTGGTAATATGTGGATGATGAAATTTCACTTATCTATTCAGGGATACTGATTTTCCTTCAAAGGAAGCTATAAAAGCTTACTACATAATGTACACCATTTGCATTCAAATGTTATATGCACAACAAAAAAGACAGGAGAGAAAAACTCACTTGTATAGGTGACATTCACAAAGCTCACAAGTTCAGTCAGATCTTTTGTTGTAAGGGCTCGTTTAGTTCTCAGTTTCATTCCATTCAACAGAGTGTTAGCTACATGTATAACGTTACTCTGACTTGGTACAGTACCCCGCGTTCTAAACACAAGCCTGATGTATATGATCACCTTCCCAAGCCTGCAAGAGATGATACATTTATTTATTTGGATGATTTATTTCATATCACCATCTATTTTCAAAAGATGGTAATAAAGAGGAATGTAAAGAGAAAATGAAATATTGCTCTTACAAGTTTGGTGGAGAAGTTGTTGTCAGAGTGCTGGCTGTCGTTAAGACTGTAAAATAAAGTAATGATTAGTGGAGAAGCTTAAAATTATAGTATGGGGTATTTATGGAGCAAGACATATAAAATGTGACATAGCAGGTGCGGATGTGGTAATACCTTCATTAGCTTTGAATAATTCCTTGACAAAGGTGCTGTTTGTGTTCAAGTCACTTTCTGAGAAAACATACTGAACACTGGCCAGAATCACTGTGCTATTATCGCTGTGTGGAGATTCAAACATGCAAAGAGGAACAAAAGTGGTTATCAAAAAACCATACGGCTTCCCTCACAAGCCATCTACTCACACTAAAAACTACTCAATGATAAAAGCAGATTTTGTACAATCATATACCCAGATAGCACACGCACATCTGCAAGATGTCTGTTAAAGATCGCTTAATCTGGAAAGCAATTTCATATCACCATCTATTTTCAAAAGATGGTAATAAAGAGGAATGTAAAGAGAAAATGAAATATTGCTCTTACAAGTTTGGTGGAGAAGTTGTTGTCAGAGTGCTGGCTGTCGTTAAGACTGTAAAATAAAGTAATGATTAGTGGAGAAGCTTAAAATTATAGTATGGGGTATTTATGGAGCAAGACATATAAAATGTGACATAGCAGGTGCGGATGTGGTAATACCTTCATTAGCTTTGAATAATTCCTTGACAAAGGTGCTGTTTGTGTTCAAGTCACTTTCTGAGAAAACATACTGAACACTGGCCAGAATCACTGTGCTATTATCGCTGTGTGGAGATTCAAACATGCAAAGAGGAACAAAAGTGGTTATCAAAAAACCATACGGCTTCCCTCACAAGCCATCTACTCACACTAAAAACTACTCAATGATAAAAGCAGATTTTGTACAATCATATACCCAGATAGCACACGCACATCTGCAAGATGTCTGTTAAAGATCGCTTAATCTGGAAAGCATCTGCTGTGTACAAACATCTGATAGATGTCTTTAAGATGTCAGTTTTACATACATTCTAAATCATAAGCATCTTAAAGATATTTTCTAAACGTCTATTTGACATCTGATAGGAAACTATAGACCAATAGACGTATTGCAGATTAGCAAACACTCTAAAAAAAAATACGTCTTGCAGATGTAAATGCAGACGTCAAATAGACTTCTCTGTGATGTATGTGTGCTATCAGGGAAGACATTTCTTCAGATTCAGAACTTACTTGAATTCAATGTGCTGGAGATCAAACTGAGAAGCTGAGGGGTCCTTTAGGATTTCGATAAGCTGGAGAGTGCAGTAATAAATACAGAGAGTAATGTTTATTAATGTTAAAGTTAATGTGATTAGAATAAGGCATATTCATTTTCATAGCAAGTTTTTGTGGGAAACCATTGAATCAAAGTGTCTCCAACTCACCAATCCATTTATAGTGCTTTTGATTAAAGTGTAAGTTTCATTCCTTAGTTCAAGTTTCTCAGACATGGATATATTGCTGATTTCAAATCCAAATGTGAGAGCATAGGAGTTATCATTAATTTCTTTAAACAAACAACAAAAATTATTAGTTGTGTGGTTATATGTGAGTGCAAAAAAAATCATTAAAAGCAAGCTACTACAGGTCTACACAATATGCATAATTCAAATGTCATATTCAGAACAAAGAGGAGCCTAAAAAGGAGAGAAAAAAACTCACTTGTATAGGTGACATTCACAAGGCTCGCATCCTGGGTTGGTGTTGAGACTTCTTTAGTTCTGTAACGTGGGCCAATCAAAGATTTGACCAACTGTAGAATGATAGTTTCACTTGGTATTTGGCCCAATGTGTTAAACACCAATCGAATATTTATATAAACCGTCCCCAACCTACCAAAGATGATAAAATAACAGGAATGTAAAGACAGATTCAGAAAATAACTGGCCTTTACAAAATGACAGTGGAATCATGGCTCTTACAATGTTGGTGGAGAAGTTATGCTTGTTGTCAGAGTGCTGGCTGTCGTTAAGACTGTAAAATAAAGTAGTGATTAGTGGAGGAGGCTTGCAGTTACAGTATTTGGTGTTGGTGGGGCAACACATTAAAAAAAAAAATCTTTAGTAATGTTTGATTTTCAGTTTTGACAAACCTGTCAGTGAATTAAGTGTCTGTAGGAAGCTGACTGGTTTTATGACATCTGTATCTTGGAAGTTGTACGCCATACTGCCCTCAATCTGATTTAATGTACTCCTATAGAAAAACAACAATATACACTATCTGTTGCATACCGTATCAGGACATCACTGCATATGCACAGAACAATCACTGAGAATTTTCTAGGAAATTTATTTTTTTATTTTCATATATTTTCATGTGAAAAAAAAGATTATGAAATAGACTCATCATACTTGAAGATGGATGATTTGGGTTGTAAATTTGGACTGCTAGGTTCATTCAGAAGAGTGTTCAGCTGAAGGAGAAAATTCAAATCATGAATCAAACTCAGAGGAATATTTGCACGAGGCCTACAAATTTAAATGGGTAAATGGTGAATGCTTACTGCTTTATTAATGGTAGTCTGTACTTGCAGGTAGATGTTATTTCTGAGTCCAGAGTCCCTTGGCATGCTGATGTCACTCATATTAAACTTAAAAATGACTGCATAGGAAGATTCTGAAATTTCTGTTTGGAAAGAAATTGTTATTTTTGATTGGGTGAAAGTTTGACATTCATTGCTGTTTTGCTCAATTCCATTTAAAAAGCTTCTAAAGTGAAAATGATGACACTTACTCTCATAAGTGACATTCACCACCTTCACCGATTCATTGAGCTGTGACTCTCTGGAATTACGGAGAGTTTTGATTGCACTGAGGACCAGAGATTCACTGGGGACTGGAGATGAGGAGTTGAACACCAGCTTGCTTGTGACCACTGCTGAACCAGGTCTGTAAATAAAACCCCTTTGGTTTAATGTACATCAAATGTTTGCAATAAAATTCCTTTTCCATTTTTGATTGTTAAAATGTGAAAACCAACACTTACATGAGATTTGAAGGGGTCACAGTGAAACCTGTTGTTGTTTCTGGAAGCACTGTTGTAGTGGTTGGCAGACGTAGCTCATTTAGGAAGCTGACTGGTTGTATGGCATCTCCATCCTGGAAGGTGTAGTCCATCCCGCCATCAATCTGATTTGAAGAGCTCCTACAGGAAAAGCAGAAGAGATACTGAATTTGCAACGTGCTTAAATTCCTATGCATAATACAGCTTTATTGAGACGTTTAGATTTCTTTCTTTCATTCTTTTAAATATTGGCTTGTTTTAATGTCCTGAAATATCATGAAGCACTAAATAAACATTGTGAATGAAAAAATATTATTCATATAAAAAAATCAGATTGCATCTTACGTAAAATTGGAAGACTTGGGTTCAAAAACGATCTTGCCAGGTTCATTCAGAAGAGTGTTCAGCTGCAGGACAAAAATCAAACCATTCATCAGTGTCTCCTGAAGACTGACATTGAACCTAAGACTTTTTACATTGTTCACTTTTGAAGTTTACCGCATTATTGATGATATCCTGAACTTGCTGGTTGGTGTTGCCTCTAGACTCAGGGTCCTCTGGCATACTGATGTTAATCACATTAAACGTAAAGAACACAGCATAGGAGGTTTCTGAGATTTCTGTTTGGATGGAAATGGTAGTTTTAAGATTTGTCAAAAGCCTGTAATACATCATTGTTTAACTTAATCTCATTTCAAAACTTTCCAAATGAAAATCAAGTGTAGCATTAGTTCTGGCAGGTCACGTAAGTCTAGCTCGCATCAGCTGACTTTTAGCTGTCCGTCCTGGAAGGTGTATTCCATCCTGCCATCAATCTGCTTTGAAGCGCTCCTGCAGAACAAACAAAAGATATTGTTAAAGGACTTCAGTCTATTTTAAAACATAACTCATGAAAATTACACAGCTAATAATAATAATAATAATAATAATAATAATAAATGATTTGGATTAATTTGATTAGGTCAAATGTTTGGACACAAAGTCAAGATTGCAATGTCAATTTGCATCTTACGTGAAGTTTGAGGTCTTGGGTTGTAAAGTTGGACTGCCAGGTTCATTCAGAAGAGTGTTCAGCTGCAGGAGAAAAATCAAGCCATTCATCAGTTTCTCCTGAAGACTGACATTGAACCTAAGTCTTTTTACACTGTTCATTTTTGTAGTTTACCGCATTATTGATGGTATATTGCACTTGCTGGTAGGTGTCACCTCTGAGATCAGGGTCCTCTGGCATGCTGATATTAACCAGGTTAAATGTAAAGACCACAACATAGGAGGTTTCCGAGATTTCTGTTTAGTGAGAAATGTTACTTTATAGATTCACCAAAAGCCTGCAATATATCACTGTTTGAGTCATTCTTATTTCAAAAATGTTTAAGTGAAAATGATAATCCTTACGTTTATAGATTACATTCACCACCTTCACTGATTCATTAATTTGTGACTCTCTGGATTTCAGGAGAGTGTTGATAGCACTGAGGACCAGAGATTCACTGGGGACTGGAGACGATGAGTTGAATAGCAGTTTGCTTGCCACCACTGCTGTTGTTTGAGCTGATGCAATTGTAGCAGCTGAGGTTATAGGCATACTTGTGGTAGCTCCATATATAGACAGTGGAGTCACACTTTTAGTTGGGGGAGCACCAGCTGCTGACATTGACAATGGCATAGTGGTTTCTTGAGTTACAATTATAATTGTTGGTGCAGCCGTTTCAGTGGTTGCTAATGACACAGTTTTTGTGCTTTGAGATACAAATGCAGTTGGAGCTGGGTTTTGTGTTTCTGAAAGTCGAGTTGGAGTCACTGCATTTGTAGTTGCATTTAGCAAAGATGTGGTTGTTAAAAATGATTTAGTAAATTCTGAGAACATTGGCATGGTTGTGGGTGTGACAAATGTTGTTGCTGCAGCAGTTCTGGTTGTTGTGAAAAGTGGTATTGTGGTTGGAGATATGGATGTTGTGCTTGGTGATAAAAGTGAAGAAGTTGAAGATATTGAAGGAAGTGTTGTGGTACGAACAGCATTTTCTGTTGCTGGAGGTGCAATTGTAGGTCCTGAGAAAACACTCAAGGTTGTGGGTGTCACAGCTGTGGTTGTATAACCTTTAGTGATTGAAGTTGGTGTTGGAGCAGAACTTGTTGTTGTTAGAGGTGCACTTGTATTTCCTGAGGAGAAAGGCATGGATATGGGGTTCACAGCTGTTATTGTAGAAGCGTCAGTTGTTGAAGTTACTGCTATTGTTGGTAATGCAGCATTTGTTGGGGGTTCTGGAAATACAGGCATGGTTGTCGGATTCACAGCTGTGGTTGTAGAAACTTCATTTGTTGAAGACTGTGCTGTTGTTCCTGGAGTAACATTTTCTGTTGCTGGAGGTGCAGTTGTAGGTGCTGGGAACACAGGCATGGTTGTGGGGTTCACTGTTTTGGTTGTTAAAGTTTCCTTTGTTGTTGACAATTGTGTTGTTGGAGCAGCTTTTGCTGTTGTTGTAGTTTCTGATGATATCTGAGTGGATGTGGGGCTCACAGCTGTGGTTGTATAATCTTCAGTGGTTGAAGATGATGATGGAGCAGCATTTGATGTTGTTGAAGGAGCAGTTGCTGAGGATATAAGAGTGGTTGTGGGGTTCACAGCTTGGGTAGTAGAAGCCTCGGTTGTCGAAGATTGTGTTGTTGCAGTTGGAGCAGCATTTGTTGCTGTTGAGAGTGCAGTTGTAGTCGGTGAGGATATAAGAGTGGTTGTGGGGCTCACAGCTGTAGTTGTATAACCTTCAGTGGTTGAAAATGGTGTTGGAGCAGCATTTGTAGTTGTTGTAGGTGCAATTGCTGAGGATACAAGAGTGGTTGTGGGGTTCACAGCTGTGCTAGTAGAAGCTTCAGTTGTCAAAGACAGTGGAGTTGTTGGAGTAACATTTTCTGTTGCTGGAGGTGCAGAGAATACAGGCATGGTTGTGGGATTCACAGCTGCGGTTGTTGAAGCTTCAGTTGTTGAAGATTGTGCTGTTGCAGTTGGAGCAGCATTTGTTGCTGTAGAAGGTGCAGTTGTAGTTGGTGAGGATATGAGTGTGGTTGTGGAGGTCACAGCTGTGGTTGTATAAGTTTCATTTTCTATTGTTGAAGATGGTGTCTCTGTTGGAGCAGCATTTTCTGTTACTGTAGGTACTGAGAATACAGACGTGGTTGTGGGGTTCACTGCTGTGGTTGTTAAAGCTTCATTTGTTGTTGACAATGGTGTTGTTGGAGCAGCTTTTGCTGTTGTTGTAGATTCTGAAGATATATGAGTGGTTGTAGAGCTCACAGCTGTTGTTGTATAACCTTCAGTAGTCAAAGATTGTGCTGTTGCAGCATTTATTGTTGTTGTAGGTGCAGTTGCTGAGGATATAAAAGTGGTTTGGGGGTTCACATCTGTGGTAGTAGAAGCTTCAGTTGTCAAAGACAGTGGAGTTATTGTTGGAGCAACATTTTCTGTTGCTGGAGGTGCAGAGAATACAGGCATGGTTGTGGGGTTCACAGCTGCAGTTGTTGAAGATTGTGCTGTTGCAGTTGGAGCAGCATTTGTTGCTGTTGAAGGTGCAGTTGTACTTGGCGAGGATATGAGTGTGGTTGTGGGGGTTTCAGCTGTAGTTGTAGAATATTCATACATTGTTGTTGAAGAGGGTGTTGTTGTTGGTGCAGCAGCATCTGTAGTTGCTGAGAACACAGGCATGATTTTGGGGGTCACATCTACGGTTGTGGAAGCTTCAGTTTCTGTTGTCATCAAAGATGACACTGCTGTTTGACCTGTAGCTGTTGTTGAAGGTGCATTTTCTGTAGAAGCCTCAGTTGTTCTTGAAGATACCATTGATGTTGAATCAGTAGTTGTAGGAGATGTAGTTGTGAAAGTCACAGCTGTACATGTATTTTGTTTGGTGGTCATAGAAGTGGTAATAGATGCTTTAGTTTTTATTACACAAACTTCATTGGCTGTTGAAACTGGTGTTGTTGGTGAAGTTGTAGTTATGGAGGATGTACCTCCACAAACAATGCACCATACATATACTGTCAAGAAAAAAGAAAGAAACATGTTTTATTATTACCTTTTGACCATTTAATATTCAGTTTAGACTATTATTAAGTTCCATGAACAATTTTAACAGCTTTTGAATACCTCTGTCACATTTGTTTAAACAATTTTTCAAGACATAATATCCAGATTAGGTGTAGAGTATACGTACATATGGTGAGGAAAACTATCCATCTGGCATCATATTTTGAAATGAAACACCACCTAAAATAGAAGATTAATCATTTATATTATGTTTTTAACAAATTACAGAACATTCATGTGTTCATGATACTGAAAGCAACTTCTTAATCATTGTGTTATTATTAAATAAAGACTTTAACTATATTTAAGGAGTATAATTATATGAAGAAGCACTCTTAGTCAAGACAAAGTTCTCCGTCAGCCCAGTTTACATTCTATGTTAGGGACCAGTTGGACTTTGCATTCAAGGTATATACATTTTATCAGATTTTGCATTACCTGGGAATCAAACTCAAGACCTTGGTGTTGCTAACGCCATGTTCTGTTGTTTGTGCTACAGGAAAGCACATAGGCCTAGATTTCAAGCAAACACCGAAAACTTTAAAGGAGACCTATTATGCCCCTTTTTTACAATATGTAATATAAGTCTCAAAGGGTCAAAAAAAAAAAGTTTGGTTTTGATTATCATGTCAATCGAGCTGAAATCATGCGTTTTAAAGCCATATTAGTTTAAACTTTTGATCGTGTTTTCTGAGCACACACATCTGAAGCACACGCACAGAAAACGGCTGTCACACGGCATGTGAGTACTAAACTAAGTTCCCTTTAATGTCTTATTGTGCTTAAACTCTCAAATACACATAAGTTTATGTTAAAAACATATATGAGTTACAAAAACAGTCGGTTATTATACCTGTGAAGGTAAACTGCTGGGAAAGAAATCACATGTTTATTGATCTGTGTGGCAGCAGCGAAATACAGTAAATAAATAAATCAACCTTCTCTTGTCTCCTCTGAGACTGGGACTCTAAATAGTGTTCTGTGCTCGTCTGTGCAGCCAAAGACAGAACAGTAAGCATGCTTTGGTCGAACTTTCGCCATATGGCTTTCGGGCACACCGTTGTCTCTTGCGAAAACACAATGGCGGCACCATGGGTGGAAACTTTCTACATCACAAGGGGAAGCGAAATCTGAAGCGCTCATTTTTTCACATGCTTACAGAGAAAGGCTTACCAAAAAAAATTACTGGGTTGTTCTTTTTCACGTTTTCTGGGTTGGTAAATGCACCGGGTTGGTATAGCACTTAAACACGGAAAAAGTCAGATTTTCATGATATGTCACCTTTAAACAAGTATGGATTACAGACAATACGAGGCATTGTGGTGCCATCTCAACCCGCATCAAACTGATTCTTGGTGGATGTCAAGCATGTCACAAGGTTTCAGATACAGATGTATTTTGCAGAAGTTCTGTATAATAAAGTAAATATTCAGTATTCAGAGGAGCTAACTCTTAATTAATTACACCTCACTCGCCTTGTATTCTTTAGGGTTAGATGAAAGCTGTTCCCGATTAAGTAAAATACTGATCTAGATGATGTTGAATTGTTTCATAAGTCTCTTTTGGCATGAATTTGCAATTTTGCCATCTCATGTGTTCTACTCAATGCTCATGAAACTTTTGATGTGTATTCATGGCTTTGCTATGATGACTGCCACATGCTAATGCCTGTGAAGTTCACAACACCATAGGGCAGTGGTTCCCAAACCTGGTTCTGGAGAACCCCCAGCACCGCATGTTTTTGACGTCTCTCTTATCTGACGCACACATTTGAGGTCTTGGAGTTTCTACTTCTCTTTAAGGTGGGGTTCAACAAAATTCCAAATTTAATAACTGGGTTCCTTCAATTTGTGAGTTGGAATTTTAAATCTATCTATCTATCTATCTATCTATCTATCTATCTATCTATATCTGTCTGTCTGTCTGTCTATCTGTCTGTCTGTCTATCATTAAAACTTTTAATTTAGTTTAATTCTACTTCCTTACATTGTACCTCAGTTGAAATTCAATTCAACTTGAAAAATTGAATTGGAATTTAAAATACATTCCCAATTCAGTTCATAATAGTGCTTTAATGTAAAGTTGATACAAGTTGACAACAAATCACACAAGCAGACACTCTGGCTATTTTAAACATATAACATTTTTACATAGTATAAATGTTGTTGTATTGAATATTATATATGTCATACAGTATTAAAAGCTATATGATCATTTAATATGTAATCATTCACCTACCTCCTTCTGCTGTTTAAAGTCATAACCATGTACACCAAACGGTATTGCAATGCTCTGTGTGATTTGTCTTCTTAGTTCAAAAGTGACAGACTGAAAAGAGCAATTTTGGGTGATACTATATCAAAGGTTTGTTGACGTCTAGGGTGTGGTAAAACGTGTCGTTCAGCAACCGAACCCTGTAGTACGCAGTACTTTCCACAATGAAGGGTGCAAATACAGTGCTGATTACTGCTAACATGAATGTCAAGAATTCATTTTTGTCAGGATGATAAAAGGTGTTTTGGGGATAACAGATGTGCCTATTTTGATATAAAATAAAAAGAAGAAATAAAAGGTAAACTAAAATTAGCCTTATAAAAGGCTTTATGAAATAGATAGAATAAATCTGATTTTATTTACTACATACATTACATAATCAAATGTCCTATCTAATTTTTTTGTAGAAATTAGCCAATAAACATGTAATTTAAAAAAAGTTTGTTTCAAAAGTTAATAAATTATTTTTAACAATGCTACATTGTCAGTAACAGTGTACAATGTACAGCTAAAATGATTTAATTAAAATATATTTATTAATAATATTTTTATTTGATTAGTATATTCATGGCAATACTAAAACAATGTGGTTTTTGGCTCTTAAGTTTGGCTCTAAGCTGTAAATTAAAGAATATGTTTAACAAGAAAATACTATTTCAGTTTCTCAAATGTCATTCAAATTTCAAGTTTAATTCAATGTGTTACTTGACATTTCTTTGTAACTGCTTGTGAAATTTACTAGCAATTGCTGAGTGAAAATTGTTTCTACAGGAAATATTTTGTCACTGTAGGCTATCATAGGACCTGGGACCTCGCCCCACCTCTCTGGCAACTGACAACCGTCTCTTCCCAAACTTATCATCTTTTGAGGATTTGATAGTAGAGAGGAAGTGAAATTTGGTAACATGAAAATCATCAAATGTGCAATGAAATCATTATTTTGAATATGATAATATGCTTTCCAGTCAAATTCTTTTTAGGCTAAGGAGTAATATCAAATAAAAGTATTATTTAATAATTATGTGCACGTATGCTATTTGATGATACTGAAACAACTGCACAGCAAAATACTTAGCCACAAACTAATCTCAGTATTCTTTCTTATAATAATAGATTAAGGGTATAAGCCTTGATGTTTCGAAATCTCTTTGATGCATGTGCAAGAACGTCTATCACATATAAAATGTGATTGCTCTCATGTTTTATTGTTATACTGGTATGGGGTGTGTCTTGGAATGTTCTAACAACTAACAACAGTACACAGTAACTTACGTAGAGAAAATTTTTGAGGTTATTCAAAATGAACAATCACTACAATCTTAATTTAGCCTATGCAGCTTATCCAACAAGACAACAGCGTATATCTCAACTGGCTTGTAACGCAAAGCCCTATTCAAGCTTAGTTGTTTAAAGTCAGATAATAATTGCCAGTTGAATTACTAATAATTACTTATCTGTAATTTTAATCACGTCCGAATCGACCATCTCGGTAGGCTAACTGTTTGTACAGCATCTTGTGGCAACTTCTACACTGTAAAAAAAATTCTGTAGTTTTTACAAAATAATTTTGGCAGCTGTGCTTGCCAGAATAATTTTGTAAAAAATACAGAAAAACTGTAAACAAATTTTTTACACAAAACTGTAAATTTTACAGTATAAAACTGTAATTTATAAACAAGAAAATTTGAATTTAAACCAGTAAATTCAACAATGCACACGAGAAGGGTGTTCCTGCACAACCGGAGGCTGCAGTTTCAGGACCGCAGTTCTAGGACCGCAGTTCTAGGACCCTATTCTTTTGTAACAGCGCCACCTACCGAATTGGATAATATAGCGGAGGCTGCAGTTTCAGGACCGCATTTCTAGGACCCTGGTGATTTAGTTTGTAGTAATGTTTGTACATGTTGTTAAAGGGATCCCTGGGTATTAAGACTTGTATGGCTTAATATAACGTAAATGATGTCTCTTCCTGAAATATGTAGTAGAAGACCCATTAAAGATTTATGTTATTTTAAAAATCACATCGTTTTATACATATTTTGGACTATGGGGGGCGCCATTATTCTGATGACGTAAAATGGTTGCACTCGGTGAGCTACTGCCGCTACCTGTTGCTAATTTTACCACAACCCAACTCGGAATAGACAACTCGGAAAATAAAATACTGTTATGATGACCACAGCTACTGAAAGAGCTTACAGGTGGAGATGGATAAGCATAGGCTTAAACCAAATGCTGTACCATCGATTTTTCCCCACATGGAGTCTAAACGCCCCGGATCTCGAGGAAAATCTGCGCTGAGAAACTCCTCTAGCGGCCGCGCGTCATGATTAGCATCGGCATGTTTACAGGATGACATAGCGTTTCTCAGCCGTTTGTAAGCTCTTTCAGTAGCTGTGGTCTACTAAAAGACTCAAAGGCATCAGGACTAAAG